TCCTCCCACAACCAATCTGGAATTACAACTAAATTGTGGAGAAATCACCTGGAACAAACAACTGAACAATAGTGAGACAGGAGCCTTACAACCTCAGACAGACAGAAGAATCAGCTTTAGTGCAATCTAACTGGTAAGGAGGATGGTAGAGACTCAAGAAGGTGGGCAGGGTGCCCACAGGCAGAAGCACCAGAAAGATATTGAAATTGCCACCTGGATCCCCCTGAGAAGAGCAGGGTCTAAACCGTTAAGTAGGGATCCTCAGTCTACAGCACCAGAGCCCAAAACGTACACAGAAAACAGCCAGCTGTGAAAAGCGGCAGGGTTTCTCTCTGACAGAGACGGGTGGCTGGAGGTGCAAAGAGCTGTTTAAAGGGCCAATGTAAAAATTTTTATTTGCAACCACTTACCCTGGGCTCTGGCAAAGGTGGGGACAGAGTGGGCTAGAGATGCCTTATGAGAGACTAGGGAAAGAGGCTCTGGGGAGAAAACTGAGAGTAGCCAGTGGAATCCCAGTGCTGACTCATCCCCCATGAGGCAGCAGCCACCTTGCTCAGGCAGAGACCCCTCCTCTGAGAGGCAGCAGCATGAGAGGACCCAATAGCCTCGCCCCCAGGTGGGATTCCTCTCCGCCCTGCGCTGTCTAAACCACCTGCGGAGTGCACAGTGATTAGATTAACAGCTCATGGAGACAGCCACAGACAGCAAGACTTCCTGGAAGTCTTCAAAAGACTGCTTAAGGTCAGACAGGAACGACATCTGACATCATCAGAGGCAGATCCAGAAAGTAAAAACAGTGGTCTCCAACCACAGAAGTTCACACCACAAAGTCAGGAGATCAAGAGAGATCAACTTAAGAAGCAGAAGCAAAATAGAAGAGTCTCACAAATAATGGGAAGACAATGCAATATCCCCAACTCGAAGGGAAAGGAGGAATCCCCAGAAAGAGCACTAAATGAAATACAGGCAAGTCAACTATCAGCTACTGAGTTCCAAACAACGGTTCTAAGGAAGCTCAATGAGCTCAGTGAGCTCAGAGAGAACTACCAAAAACTACAGGGAAACTACGAGCAACTTACTGCAAACTATATCAGCATGAAAAAGGACATAGAAACTATCAATAAGAGACAAGAGGAAATGAAGAATACAATTTCTGAATTCAAGAACACAGTAGAAGGAGTCAAAAGCAGGCTGGATGAAGCTGAGGACCAAATCAGAGAGCTGGAGGACAAGGTAGAAAAGAGCTCCCAGAAAGAGCAAGAAAATGAAAAAAGACTCAAAAAGAATGAAGAGGCATTGAGGGAAATGCAGGACAACCTGAAACGTAATAATATCCGTATAGTAGGGATACCAGAAGGAGAAGGGGATGAGGAAGGGATAGAGAACGTGTTTGAAAAAGTAATGATGGAAAACTTCCCTAATTGGAGGAGAGAGAAAGGCACACAAGTCCAGGAAGCACAGAGGGTCCCATTCAAGAGGGACCCAATGAGGCCCACCCCAAGACACATCATCATTGAAATGGCAAATATCAAAGACAAACAGAGACTCCTAGAGCAAGTAAGGGAGAAAGAGGCAGTCACTTATAAGGGAGCCCCGATACGGCTAGCATCTGACTTCTCAACACAAACCCTGCAAGCCAGAAGGGACTGGAAAGAAATATTCCAAGTGATGAAAAGCAAAGGTCTGCGACCAAGACTGCTCTACCCAGCACGGCTCTCAGTTAAAATGGAAGGTGAAACAAGGAGTTTCCCAGACAAAAGAAGGCTAAAAAACTACACCTCCACCAAACCAGCACTGCAAAAGATGCTAAAGGGACTGCTTTAAGATGAAGAAAAAGAGTCTATGAATACCCAGTTCCTTTCAGAGTTGCCAATACTTGATATTACCAATAATTTTGGTAATAATACTCATTAATCTCATTGTGACAATGATGTGTTATTTTAATTGTTCCTTTACTATTTGTTGAAACTAAACCTGTTTTAGTATATTTCTTGTCTATTTCTATTATTTTTTTAAAAAAAGCTTTAAATGACTTTTTGGTATTCTTTATCCATTTACTGATTAAAGGTTTGTAGAACTTTTTTCCCTAAAAAAACAAAAAAAGAAAAAAGACCTATTAACCATGTTTCAGATGTGTTGCAAATACGTTTCTATTCTATTCCTTGTCTTTCAACTTTTTTTATATGTATATTACTATATAGTTAAATGTTTAATATAGTCATATTGTCAATATTTACTTTATAGCTTCTGGGTTTGAATATTTTACTTCAAGTCTTGAAAAATATTAGTTCTACTTCCTTCTAAAACTCCTTAGATTCTACATATTGATTTTTAACTCACCTGAATATTTCTTGTGTAATGTGTGAAACAGGGTTCTGTATTTGTTTTATTTCAAGTAATAGTGGTCCATGCACCCTATTTGTTGAATAAGGCTTCTTTTCCCCATTGATTTGAAATATGAACTTAATCATATATTACACTGTCAGGCAGATATATACGTTTGTCTCTAGAATGCTCATTATATTTCATTTATCTACTTGATTATTTCTGTGCTCATGTCATGTTGTTTTAATTGCTGAGACTTTATTATGGTTTTAAATTTTTAAAAATATTTTATAATTAACTGTGACATCTAAAAAAAATAAAAGCAATCTGCACTTAAGAAACAAAGAAAGAGAGAGATGGAACTCCTACCTTTTGCGACAACATGGATGGAACTGGAGAATATTAAGCCAGTTCATGAAAGACAAATACCATATGATCTCACCTATAAGTGGACTCTATGCAACAAAATAAACTAACGAACAAAATAGACCACAGGCACGGAAACATGGAGCAGACTGAAAGTGACCAGAGGGGATGGGGAAAGAGAACAACAGTGGAAAGAAGGGGAAGGGACTAGACAAAGAACATGTATGAATGACCCATGGACATGGGTAACAGAGTGGGAATTGACTGTGGGAGTGGGGGTGGGGGGGTGGGAGGGGATGGGTAGAGGGAGATAATGGGGGAAAAATTGAGACAACTGTAATAGAATAAACATGATTTATAAATTTAAAAAAATAAAATGTAATTTAAAAAAAGACCAAAAATAAAGAACAAACAAAACAGAAATAGACCCACTGATACAGAGAACAAGCTGATGGCTCCCAAGGCCGGGGTGGGGAGTGTGGTTTGGGAAAAAATAAAATAAGAAAAAGACAAATTTAATATAAGTTTTAAAAAGTTTTCTTGTCAACCTGAATAGACAATTCTCCAAGGAGGACATACAGAGGGCCAATAGATATATCAATAAAAATGCTCATCACTAGCCATCAGAGAGATGTGAATTAAAACAACGATGAGATATCACCTCACACCTATCAGCATGGCTTTCTTCAATAAATCAACAGACAAGTGCGGGTCAGGATGCGGAGAAGAGGGAACCTAGCACACTGCTGGTAGGAATGCAGACTGGTGGCAGCCACTGTGGAAAACAGTATGGAACTTCCTCAAAAAATTAAAATTGTAACTGCCTTATGATCCAGCGATTCCACTGTTGGGAAAATACCCTAAGAATCCTGAAACACATGGCACTCTTTATAATAGCTAAGTGTTGGAAACAGCCCAACTGCCCATCCGCAGCTGAGTGGATTAAAAAACTGTGGTACATTTACACAATGGAATACCACAAAGCACAAAGAAAGGAGTCCTACCTTCTGTGACAGCATGGTTGGAACTGGAGACTATTATTTTAAGTGATATAAGCCAGTCAACTAAGAACAAATACCATATGACCTCACTTCTAACTGGAGTCTAATGAATAAACTAATGAGAAAAACAAAACCAGAGACATGGAAATATGGAACAGACTGATAGCTATAGGAGGGGAGGAGGGCAGGGAGGGGGGAATGGTGGAAGGAGGTGCAAGGGAGTAGTCAAGGAACATGTATGAATGACTCATTGATATAAACAACGGAAAGGGGATCATTCACTGTGGGCAAGAGCCTGGGGGGTGGCGGTGGGGAGCTGGGTAGAAGGGGGCAAAGGGGGAAAACAAAGAAATTGGGACAACTGTAATAAAATAAACAATAAAAAGATAAATACTGCTTAGGAAAAAAAAAGCTCACTTGTCAAATTTTCCCTGTCAAATTTAAATAGAGAATTTAACAGAAACTCTAAAAATGAGTTTATAAAAAAAAAAAGAGCAATAATATACAACATATAAATATCCCTCCTATCATCTAATTGGAACATTCACTTGAAAGCCTGTAAACATTTAACACTATACAATGCATAAAATGAAAAGAAAAGGAAGTCTCTCTTTACTGCAGCGTTCTGTCAGCACTAAAACGGGAACACTTTGTTTCAGAAAGAGACTCCAAGTTAGTGTATTTTAACATATAGCTTAAAGCTGCAGGGGCCTTTCAGTACCTAAAATCTTAAAAAAAAAAAAATGACAGTTTAACAAAAGCCAAAATTGTGCTGTTTCAGGCAAATTAACTTTGAAGACAAAAACCCCTAACATTTTTAGTTAAAATGGTCTTCAGATGTTTGATGTCCTTCCTTCCTAGGCTACCTGCAATAGTTTTTCTGTATTCCTTTGTTAAATACATTTCAATAACAAAGTATCCTGTATGAACACTCCCTGACCCCCACCCAAACACCACAAGCTACACTCACCACCAAAAATTAAATAAAAATTCCTCACAGAAACATGTTCTAATACACCAAAGCAATCCATTTTTAAACCAAGGCGATAAAAATCTATTGTTTCCAGTTTTAAATATTACTGTGGTAATTATATAGTTTTTAAAGACATAAAAATACTAGATTTGGGGAAGAGCTAAAACAACTTACAGGATTTGTGAACAAAATGAAAAAATAATTCTAGTTTTGCACAGTTCCAATCGAGCACAAGAGGTTCCTAGAGGAATCTTTTCAATGTGTATTCCCCATTACTGCATCCACTGCAATCGTTAGGCGCCTTGACCTTTAGCCAACCATGACTTTGCACTCACCTTTGCTCTTCCTCCCCAGTTAGTCTCAAACTATCAGCACGATCTCGTCTTCTCCTGTAGAGGCCTGAATGTGAAAGCTCTTTAAGCTGTAATGCAGTCATACCTTTCTCTACACATAAATTACAGACACTTTATAAAGTATTTATGCTGAGCAGCATGGCTGCCAGGGCTCAGAAAGACAGTGTCTCTGCTGCTGAACCTCAGCACACCTGACCCAGAGTTAGAAACCTCCAAGCAGGCCAGGCTCTGAAGCACAGCTTCCTGTTTCTCTGCTGGTACACACCCTTCTCAGCAAGGCCTAGCTTGCCTTATCTCTGTGCCTTCCACCTTGGAGGGTGTGTGTGTCTGAGGGGAGGGGGTGAGTGTGACCTGGGCTGCACACATGTTTACTAATAAGAAAAATTTAATTGTTATGAATAATTATACCAATTCTCTTATAAATCTTTCCTGCACCATTCTGTATTAAAATTGAGCTAAAGCCCTGGCCAGGTGGCTCCGGTTGTTGGAGCCTCATCCCTTGAACCAAAAGGTTCCAGGTTTGATTCTTGGTCAGGACACATACCTAAGTTGCAGGTTTGATCACCAAGGCAATCGACTCATGTTCCTCTCTCACATCAGTGTCATTGTCCTGTCTCACCCTGCCTCCCCCCCCCACCCCCCGTCCCGTCTCTACCTCCCTGCTTCCTCTCTCTCTAAAATCAATAAACATATCCTTGGATGAAGATTCAAAAAAATTGAGCTGAAAAGCTCCAGTAAGATAATGACTAAAGAAGAGCCCTGCTCTATTTTATTTGTCAGGAAACCATTAACATTTCACAGGCAGCTGTCAGTTTAAATAAGTGCCTGGTCATCCTGAGCTCTTTGGGACATTTTCCTTAAAAAGGCGTGAGGCAGGGTTGGGGGAGTGGGGGTGAAGGGGAGCAGAAATGTGAGAGTAGCAGTCCAATTCCTCCCTCTCACACTACTCTAAATCCTCTTTAGTAACGAAGTGTCTTTTTCCCATTAAACATGACTCAAAAATTCTTAACTGAAAGAAAGGTAGTTTCTTCTCTCAACTTCTGAATACTTCCCTATCATAAAATGTGTACTTTAATTTATCACCATTGTGGTGCCTACCCAGTCCCTGTATTTATTTATCTGTTTATGTGATCCTAGAGAGTGGCAATGTAAGAAAGGAGGTTTTGGTTTTTTGGAACAGGGTATGGGTGAGTGTTTACAAGGGGGATTGTGTATAATGGAAGGTAGATAGTATGATGTAAGGGTTTTTTAAATTTATTTTTCAATTACAGTTTACATTCCATATTAATCTAGATTAGTTTCAAATGTACAGCATAGTGGTTAGAAAATCATGTACTTTACAGAATGGTTCCTCTAATACCTCAAGTAGACTCCCGGCCCCATACATAGTTATCGCGATACTACTGACTACATTCCCTGTGCTGTATCTACATCCCCTGTGACTATTCTGAAACTAACAATTTATACTGCTAATCCCCCTTCACCTTTTTCACCCAGCTCTCCACCCCCCTTTATCATTCAACACCAAATGTTGGTGCAAAAGCAGGCAGGGTTCCCACCTTCAATCTAATTGAATTCCACTCTATGCATATTATAAACACAAGCTAGATCACTGGCAAGTTCTTAGCCAATAGTTTGATGTTATGGTTCCAATAATTTCTCTTTGAGTAATTTGTATTAGCTTCTTTCCATTCTAAAATACTCCAACAACAAGAGCATGAGAAATGGGCCTTACAATAAACAAACAACTTTCTATTGATGCCGTCAAAACATAATGTATGTTTTTAAAGATTCAGGAACAAAATTACTATTTTGTTACTACACTAGATTTAATTAGTGATAAAAGATGTTAAAAAATATAAGTAACAGATTTATCTCTTCCTTGGCCTGGAAGACACAAAAAAAACCTCATATCCTAACTGCCTGTGGAGAAATAGCAGAAGAAAGCCTTTTCATTATATACCACCTTATACCTTCTGAATTTTGAATATACTGCCTATTCAAAAACAAACAAATCACTTAGATCCTAGAGTTCTCTTTTGTACAGAACCCTAGGATCCTACAGAGGTCTAAAATACAGAAAAGTTTAAAATTTACAGTAATGGAAACATAAAATTAAGACTCCCAAAGTGCCTAATTCTCACATTTTTGTCAAGACAGGTGAAAAATGAAGAGAAACAACACTCAATCTTTAATTTTTTCACTCAGCATCAAAACAGAATAGATGCCTGGTGAATAACATACAAATTAATTGCATTCACTGCATACACACAAATCTCAACATTATATAGAACTTGTTTCTACAGAAAAATTTTAAATAAAGAGCTTGATTTTAATTGTTTAAAAGATTTTATTTATTTTTAGAGAGAGGGGAAGGGAGGGAGAAAGAGGAGAGACATTGGCTGTGTGAAAAATATCAATCAGTTGACCCTCGCACGAGCCCAAACCACATGCCCCAACCGGGGACCACCTGAGAAACCCAAGCAGGTGTCCTGACCAGGAATCAAACTGGCAACCCTTCGCTTTGTGGTACTATGCTCAGTCAACTAAGCCCCACAGGTCAGCACAAAAGCTTGATAACTACTAAAGGTTAATGCTGGGGACCACTTTGTGTGTTATCTGGAATTGTAGCCCCACGCGAGCCAGGCCTTGGAAGGGGCCTGTAAATCTCAACAAGGAAACTGGAAATGCTGGGAGGCAGACATGACCCAATGATAGCACGGAGGGCTCCCGTGGGAAATTACGTCTGAAAAATGCACTGTACCCTTTGAAGCTTGCTTTGTTTTGTATAGCCCTGTTAATATAAACCAGATGTTTAAGATCTAAACAGGAGTGAATTCCTGAATTCAGGAGCCATACCTCAATGACCATCTGATGTCAGCAAGTCTAACAGACCTTGACCTGAGGCAAATCTGTGTTCCTTCAATTGCTGTCTATGATCCCTATCTGTTTTCTGTAAATATAGCCTTTAGGCATTGATTGATAAACTTTGCATATATGCCTGCTATATATCCCTGCGCATATCTGTTTTCAATAAAAGCCACTTCAGAAAAGGGCCCAGGGCATTCTCCACTAGAGGGAATTGCCAACCCTTTCTCCTGGCAGACCAAGTGTGTCTGGAAAGACTCATTTTTTCATCCGTGACAGCCAGGGGGACTCCACGGGACAGGGACTCCCACAGGTTAACAAGACAGGAAACAGCTAACCGTATAGGACACAGATTATCTATTTGATGTATCTAAGGATAAAACAATGTGAACAGAAAAAGAAGTTCCCTAGTGATATAACAAAAAAACAATTTTGCCCTCTAACTTTTAAAATTGCTGTACTGACAAATAGGAATTTCAGTAAATCAATGCTTTCAACCTAACAAAACTGTCACAACTGAGTAAAATTAAATTCTGGGGCTCTGGAAAAAGCTTTTTTAAACACTGTCGATTCATTGAAAACAAAGAGACAGAGAAAAAAAAGGCATCCTCTTTTTCCCCAGCAGCCCTTCAAATATGCCTTGACATTTTTTACTTGTCTTTCTTCCTAGTTCTACTACGAAAACACAAGCACAGATGGGCACCACAGTTTCTGTAAGGGAAATGCCTCAAATACACACCACTGACTGGCTTATATTGCAGCCAGATTACCAATTCTTCCCTTGTAACATAGTGCTCCTGTACATCAGCAATAAGGTTGTAAGAACACACCCTTGAAACACACAGCAGGGCCTCCACAGGCAAAAGCAGTTTCATTTTTTTTTCCTTTCATATTTTTCTACAAAAAGAGTTACCTAGTGTGCCTGATTCTCAAATCAGGCCCACTTAAAATAAGTTTTAAATTTCAAACAACTGTCAACAGTACAGAGGGAGGTCTATGTGAGTACATTTTCCATGGGTATCCATTTAAGGAAAATTTTTATTTTAGCTCTCTAAACATTCTTTGAAGGCCAGTCTAGCCTCACTCCTGTACATCCCTGAAGTGGGATGCTGCCTCTTCTTAATTCCAGCAAAGCACTTACTGCTCCATAAAGCTCCTGGGCTCTCCCTTTTCCCTCATGTGCAATGGCTACTGAGGAACAAACATTCACAAAAATTGGTAAGCCTAGTATCTTCCATTCCACTAATACAGTGCAGCTGATCTATGAACCTAATTATAACTTTATTCACTCCTGTCCAATCTGTTGGGTTCTCTCTGAATCTGTACCTTGATTCCTGGTATGATGAGATACTAGTCCCAGCTTGATGTCACCAGCATAGCTGATAATCTCCATAAACATAAGCCTTTGATTGAAATGACTAAATACAAAGCTCTATGGAAAATCACACAAGATCTCTGTTGTGCTGGGCTAACATCTGACCCAGTAGTTTTCCATCTTAGGGAGAGCCACAGACCTTTTATGAATCTGATAAAAGTTAATGTTCCTCTCTTAGAAAATGCATGTGAGCATACAATTTTATAGCCATTTCAGGAAACGGACAGATCTTTCAGAAGCCAAAAGCTGGACTTTATCTTAGATCTTCCAATCTGCATTGATCTCCCCCTTTTCTGAAAATCTTCAACACTGCAGTGTAGGACTTTTGATCTCATTTGTTCATTTAATACATATTTACCTGGTGCCCTGTCCTGGGCTAGACGCTATTTCAGAAGTTCTTTTTATCTTCCTTTAATTTCTCTCAGCCTGCTAACTGATCTTTTTGTCACTTATCTTGCCCTCTTCTAATCTATCTTCAAATTTTAAAGTGTTGTTTTAAAAATATAATTTGATCACTTGTTGATCCAGCTGAAAAATCCTTCAATGGCTCCACTGCCATCTGACTCCAGCTGAGCTCTACTCTCTCCCCTACCTGCACTATATTGAACTCCAGATGTTTCCAGGACAAACTTTGCTTCTTCTCACCTCCTGGCCTTTCCACATGCAGTTTCTTTAAGACTTGAAGAAGGATCTCAGGCAGGACTAATTTCTACTCATCCTATTAGAACTCACTGCAAGGGTCATTTCTCATGAGAAGCCTTTCTAGACCCTAGGCACCCACGATTCCCTTTCTGTGTACCCCCAGAACTCCCTGCTGTTTTCTGTCACTGGAACCACAGTCTCATGATGAGTTCTTTATCCATGCTCCTCTTGGAATAACAGCTCTTTGAGGGCAGCAATGTATCTAATTTATCACTGTGTCTACAAAGCCAGGTACACAGTAGATATTTGCATTTGTTAAGTAAGTTCTTTGTTGTAATTGTTAATCAATTGATTTGAGAGGCTAATCACTTTACAATGCTATGTTTGAGATTAAAGCTCCAGGGTATTGAAACTTTAAAAAAAAAAATGAACACTTAACATTACCTAAATGAGATTTTTAAAAGGCACATCAATACTAATTTTGAAAAAATGTACATTCTTGCTAAGACTGTAAAAACTCAGAAGCTTTTCATATTTGTAGAGTTTAACAATTGTGTATACCATTTGGGATAAGAATTTAAAAGTTAGCCTAGATTTTTACCCATACCTGACATAGCCCAGTTTTCA